CTGAATTTTATAACTCAAGATTTGAAAGATTTTCCAAGAGAAACAGGATCCATTACAACTTACCACCACATACTCACCGCAAAGTAATGGAGTCACAGAGAAAGAGAGTGAATAGGACTCTTATAGATATAGCGAGAACCTTACTAATTGACTCAAAATTACCCATGAAGTTTTGGGCAGAGGCAATTGCTACAGCTGCATACATTAAGAATTGTACCCCCCACAGGTCTATCAAGCACCATACACCTATGCAGAGATGGAATGGGAGGAAACCATCGGTCAAACGCATTAAAATATTTGGATGTTTGACACATTGGCTTAAGAGCAAAGCAAGAAGAAACAAGTTTTCACCCAAGGGTAGAAAGGGAATATTTATCTGATATTCCAATAAAAGAAAAGCCTACAGAATATATGATATAATGACAATAGAATTCATGAAGTCAGATTGGCAAAATTTAGGGAATATAAGAGAGGAATTGATTATACACTGCGTGACATTGAAAATGGAACACCAAGAAATAGTGGCCAGAAAGTGATGAAACTCGGCAGACAGAGAGAGACAGGGACGAACAATAAGTGATCTTTATTTCAAAATGATAGTCATAATACAGAGCGAGAACGGTGTCGGCTTAGTAGCAAGTAGGACCACCGCGGACGGCGATGCACGCAGCAACACGTCTAGGTAGAGAGTCAATCAGAGTACGGATGGCGTCCTGAGGGATGGCTCTCCATTCCCTCTCAACCATTTGCCACAGTTCGTCTTCTGAACGCGGCTGTGGCAAGGCATGCAAACGCCGTCCAATGATGTCCCAGACGTGCTCGATTGGTGAGAGATCAGGAGAGTACGGTGGCCAGGGAAGCATCTGTACATCTTGCAGAGCTTGTTGGCTAATGCGAGCAGTGTGCGGTCGGGCGTTATCCTGCTGATAAAGGGCATTGGGTACCCCCTGAAGGTAGGGGAGTGTCACCGGTCGCAGCACATCATCAACGTATCGTTGGGCCGTCATAGTGTCCTGAATACGAAGTAAAGGTGACCTGGAATCATACGCGATTGCGCCCCAAACCATGATTCCACGTTGTTGCACGGTGGGGCGTTCCACAATTGCTGCCGGATTGGACCTTTCTCCACGTCGACGCCACACGCGTACACGGCGACTATCACTAGACAAGCAGAAACGCGACTCATCTGAGAATACGACCCTGTGCCATTCCGTCATCCACGTCGATCTAGCCCGGCACCATTCCAAACGTTGGCGCCTATTCGGTGGGGTCAATGGCAGTCTTCTTAGCGGACGGCATGAGTGCAAGCCATTAGCAACCAATCGACGGGAAATGGTTCTGGTCGAGATGGAATGATCTAGGGTGTCTTGCACATGTTGCAGGATGGCGGTACAAGTGGCTTGTGGGGCCGCCACTGCTTGTCGAAGGATACGCCGATCCACACGTGCTGACGTCACTCTGGTTGCACCGACATTCCTATAAATTGCCACATTTCCTTGTTCCAACCATGTGTGTATCAGCTGCGATTTGACGTATGGACCAACCTGCCCTTTTCAGTCCGATCACCATGCCCCTCGTAAAAGCGTCTGTCTGCTTGAACTGCCTCCGTTTACGATGACCTGGCATTCTCTGTTATTACACGTGTCTTTTGTCACAAGAAAAAAAATTCTACAATGATTTTCCTTGAAGAAATAACGACACGAATACTGTCCTTTCTGCAAGTTCCTTCCCTTATATCTTACTCCATGTGCGCACGAGAGCTGCGCATTTTACATCATTTGCATAACTCGGTTAGGCGCGTCTACCCTGAAATTTGCATAATTTTCTGGCCACTATTTCTTGGTGTTCCATTTTCAATGTCACGCAGTGTACAAATGATAGTCAAGATGATATTAATTGTGATAAATTGGCCTATAAATGAAATTTTGAAGAAATAGTTGCTGAAAACTTTCTTATCTTGAAAGAAGACATTCCTTTCACAGAGAGTGGAATAACGTCTCAGGAGGATACTTCAGGAAAACGAGGTGGTGAATGTGAAAGTGACTCATCATAAACTGAACTGATAAAGGAAAAATGTATAAAAGGAGGAAGAAAGAAAGGAGATACAACAAGTGTTTTAGAATAATGGCACAAAGCAAGACGTGAAGAACAAGAAAGGAAATTGATTGAAGAAGGAGTTTGACAATCATAAAAAAAGGAGGATAGGAATGAGGGAAATTTAATTATAGAAATAGATCATTATATTCCAGAGAATTTTAAAGAGGTGATGGATAGAAAAATAAATGGAAGAAGAGCTCAGTGAGATAGAGAAACATAAAGAATGGACACTAGTACCAAGGGAAAATGGAATGAAAGTTATCAACAGTAATTGGGTCTACAATATGAAGAAAACATCTGAAGATATCATATATAAAAGAAAGGCCAGACTGGTTGCTGTTATATGCAGTCAAAGAAATGGCGTGGACTATAAGGAATCTTTCTCACCTGTACTCAAAAAGGAAAGTTTGCAAACAATAGTATCTCTTGCAACGCAACAGAATTTAATCATAAAGACTTATAATGTGAAAAAAGTTAGTTATACCAATGATATTTCCAATGCAATTGAATTGGGGATGGACTTAGGTTCATTTAGAGGAAAGGTGCCTTCTATACTAGGTTCGTCTTAGCAGGGTTTTACTGTATATGAATTTTTTTTACACTTCTTTAACATGCATTTTCATGATTACATTAGCCTATAAATTCTCAACCAAATTTTTACAGTTAAAATGAACTAAATTAGCATTGAAAAACTTGTGGACAAACATGTATAAAGGCAAAAAAAATAAAGCCTTAAAGTGGTGTCTTGTATTGGATATGTAAATCAGTGGTGTCTTGTCCCATGAAAAGGTTGGGGGGGTGTCATTGCCCCATTAGTCAGCGACATTTCAGAGTTCCCTGTTCACAGTTACCATAGCGGCTTGGGGCTCACGACACCCTACTTCACCCTACAGGACAGTCCCTTACTTGTGCTGCTTTTCCCGCCCGCCACATAGAGGAGGGGTTGGACTTCTGGGCAGGAAGCCTTAAAGTAAAGAATTAAATTGATTTAGGATATTTTGAAAATATCACAATGACAAATTTTGTTGTAGGAATTAAGAGCAAGCAGATGATATGTTAGCCTGTTCAAAATGAAATTGATAGTTTAAAAATTAACCTAAAAAATAGCACCTTTTATAAAAAAGCAGCTTAAAGTGGTGTGAAGTTACAGTGGTTGGTATCAGGCCTAATTAAAATTGATATAAAACTTGATAGAGCAATATTATCATATTATGATTGATAAGGTACAATTTGGATTATAGATTATTACCTTGTGTTTATCATATTATGATAAAAAATAGGTAAATCAGTCAGCCTAGTATGTGTGTATATTAGATAATAATACTGGGTTTAATATAAAGGTACATGTTTAAATTTTATAGTGATTTCATTTATATGTATTTTAACTTTTGGATCTCTTCTTCAATGCCTCACCACTGTTCTTATAAAATGTAGTTTTCTGCACCGTTTCAATATATTCGCAGCTTAGCTTAGGTTTGGTTATGCTTGTTACTCATGAAGTACCCTGAGTTTTCCTCATTTAACTGTTCGACTTTCTCTTGTTCATAAACATCATCTTCTTCTTCTTTCTTGTCTCCACTCCATCATATTACAGTATCAAGCTTGGAAAGTTGACTACCATCATGATTGGGTGAAGTAGAATGTGTCTGCCTTTTTCATTAAGACTGGGAGCACTACTCAGTGGCAGGCCGACTTAGCTCCAAAAGAAATGGCCGCCTCTGACATGAGGAACAGACGCCATGTGCAGCCGCTCCTAACATGAAGTACAAACACTGCTCATCCTGTATCCCTGGATCAGGAGCCCTTACAGGGTACTCTTAGCTGGGCCAGCTGAACCCAGGTTTTTTAGTGAGCTTGTTACTGTTCCCCCTCCTCCTTTTTCATCCGGGCTTGGGACCGGCAAAGGCGGAGTTGTTCATAAACATGTCACTGATGACCTCTTATTGATGTTCAGCATTTAAGAGCACCACCAAGGACCTGCTGAACAACATGAATGGCCATCTCCCTTTACCAACCATCCTGATGCAAGTCATGCAGGTAATGAAGAAACACTTTCTTTCTTTCATTTTTATCTCTACAATATTATAAATGGCCCAAAAAAACTCTGTGGTAGTGTTAACATCAGTAGAACTCTTTATAGGCTGTGACTGTTGGATCTGCACCTTTTCAAGCAAATTATCAAGGATGATGAGGGTACACATTCGTGGCACATCTTTTAAGCTTGTATTGCAGACAATGGCACTGTATATGCAACTTTAGTGTCACAGACATTGTCATTGGACTTCCACAGCGTCTAATGGTCTATGCCATTCATTCAAGTCACTGGTTCCAACTTTGTGGGTGTTTTGGCAATCTAGCCATGTCACACTTACACAGCCCCCAGCTCCCGTCCCTTAAATATGGATTACCGCTGTAGTCCTTGACTGCACAGAAGTCAGCCCCACCATCACATTACAGCTTGTAAAGAATATTGCTGTTTTAACGGAGTATATATTTCAGAAAGGGCTTGAATATTCGCACTATACATCATTTGGATGGCACTCTCTTTTTTCCTGCTTGATTTTGTTCAAAGCACTTTGCCACACCCGTTGTTGGAGGTGATAAGCTTGCCCTCCTCCACTACACATCAGGTCTGGATCATTTCCTTCTCCATGCCACCATTTGCAGAGAGATCTATCCTTCTCTCTTCATCCATAGAGTCCTGCTAATATTTCAAAGTTTGGCTGTTTGAGCATCCTTTGTAGCACATGTAAAAGACTCAACAATGCCTTCCAAGTAAAGGCACTCTGGAAAGACCTTCTTTATCACCCACCTTGGTTGTTGTGATTAGTTGATCCGACACAGAATTGTGTACATGATTGTAGAATGGCATTTGAAAATATCCGCATGTGGTTCTTTTGCATGTCCAGGATAGTCTAGTGGACATGGCATCTGCCCTGGAACATTGTGGGTTCGATTCCCATCCCTGGACACTTTTATTTTTCCGTTAACATTACTCTTCACAATTTTCTGGAAATTTTCTGCTATTGACACTCTGCAGACTTTTGGATCACCGAAGAATCTCTTAGTGTCGGTTCTGACGGTCCACTTACGACATCTCCCAATGTGATGGTCTTGTCAGTATCTTCATCACCTGGACTCATGTCTCATTAACCTTTGAATACCCTGGTTAAAGGTAACTGTGATTGTTTTTTGGAAAGCCATCAATCTGGTGTACAGCTAAGAACACACCTTAACTTCAAAAGACCATATTCCAATCATGATTGAGTCGGTTTAATCGAGATTCCAATAGAGTGATGTCTTCTTTAAGCGATCTCTCTAACCTGGCCTCTTAAAACACATCTATTTTCTGGTCCATCAGACTAAAGAAGTTTCTGATTTCTTGCATTTTCCAATATCTAATTTGGATAGCTCTAGCATTTTATTTTTAAATTTAAGAAAAAATTCAATCTTCAATGAATTAAAACAAACAGTATACCTGCTTCTGACACCAAATGTTATAACACTTTTCATCTATGGTTGTTTATGTATAAGGCTTCTAAATAAGAAGGGGGGGGGGGGTTCTATGTAGATACAGCTTAGAGCTACACACTTTATTACCAGTAGCTGCTAATAGAATTTAGAATTCTCCTGGCTTGTTGTAAACAACTTAATGTTACATTGCCACAACTGTTTTCAAACATTGTAATCCTTTTTATACAATACTAGCGGATGTACCCGGCTTCGCTCGGGTTTTACCCGAGTAAAGGTTTGTCTAACGTATCTCTCGATAAAGTGAACATTTTTTCCCGGTCCCTTGAAAAATACTCGATAAGTTGAATAAAATCAATATTAATTGGTTTCCTCGGTAATTGGAAGTTAAAGGAATAGTATCTTACCTTGGAATTGTATCATTATTCTTGTATGGATGTACCCGGCTTCGCCCGGGTTTTACCCGAGTAAAGGTTTGTCTAACGAATCTCTCGATAAAGTGAACATTTTTTCCCAGTCCCTTGAAAAATACTCGATAAGTTTAATAAAATCAATATTAATTGGTTCCCTCGGTAATTGGAAGTTAAAGGAATAGTATCTTGCCTTGTAATTGTATCATTATTCTTGTCTCAAATAAATTGCCGTGTCATCCTGAATTTTGTCTTTCCTAATTTTCTACATTACAAAATTATCGTTTTATCTAGTGAACATTTTTTCCCGGCTCCTTGAAAAATACTCGATAAGTTGAATAAAATCAATATTAATTGGTTCCCTCGGTAATTGGAAGTTAAAGGAATAGTATCTTGCCTTGGAATTGTATCATTATTCTTGTCTCAAATAAATTGCCGTGTCATCCTGAATTTTGTCTTTCCTAATTTTCTACATTACAAAATCATCGTATCATCATGATAATATTTAGAGCAGATTGTTGAATATTAACAGATAAATTAGAATATTTATCTTGATTATTTTTAGGCGAAAAGATTTTTCAAAAATTTTATTTGCTAGAAACCTTCCCAGTACTATACTAAATAACTTCCCAAAGTTTCATGGCGTTCCAATGAGTGGTTTGGTCAGGCATAAAGGACACACACACACATACATTCATTTTTATATATATAGATAATGCGGCCTATGATTGTAGAACGGCATTTGAAAATATCCGCATGTGGTTCTTTTGCATGTCCAGGATAGTCTAGTGGACATGGCATCTGCCCGGGAACATTGTGGGTTCGATTCCCATCCCTGGACACTTTTATTTTTCCGTTTATCATTACTCTTCACAATTCATCCTTTCATACTTCATCCCTAAGGTTAGAAATAATCGTTATTTCTCCTTAAAATAAATTTTGATTTTTTTTTGTTCAAAAGAAAGACATGCGGATATTTTCAAATGTCGTAATCCTTGTCTCTATATTTTGCGAGCATAGTCAACTGTCATTAATCTCTAGATTGTAGACATTTTATGGTTCTGAGTTGCCTTCCTTTCTGTCTCACACAATTCCATTTGGAATGTATGCACAGTATCGCGTTAGTGTTTATGATGGTAACAGGTGCATGATCTCATAGGCATCGGCCATTTTAGTGAAGACGTCCAACAAGTTTGGTTTGGGGTTTCCACTACATGTGGAATTGTAGACTGATGAATAGATATCTAAAATCTTCTTCTTTCTTATCTCCACTCAATCATATTAGGGTATCTTGGAGCTAAGTCGGCCTGCCATTGAGTAATGCTCCCAGTCTTATTGACAAAGGCAGATACATTCTACTTCACCCAGTCATGATGGTTGTCAAACAGACACCATCAAGGGTCACAACTTGATACCCTAATATGATTGAGTGGAGATAAGAAAAAAGAAGATATTAGGGTATCAACTGTATTGACTCATCCATTGATGAGCTCTACTCTTCCCCGGCAGACACCATCAAAAGTCTCAAGTTTTACAAGCTTGATACCCTAATATGATTGAGCGGAGATAATAAATAAGAAGAAGGGTATCAAGCTTGTAAATCTTGAAATTTTTGATGGTGTCTGCCGGGGAAGAGTAGAGCTTATCAATGGATTAGTCAATATGAGTCAATAATGTGTTTTGGGGTTGCAGATTGAGAATTACAGATATTTAAAATACATGAGTACCACAAATTGATGTGAAGAGCTTACAAACTTCTATCACATCCTGCTGTCTATGAATCTACCTATGAAGTGCCCTGGTGTGTGAAGGACCCAGCCTACAACGAGGGCAAGTTCAGTGACATCCGGGAACTGGTGATGGGGATGTTTGAGACCTACCATTATGAAACTGTAAGTTATCAGAATACCTTTATGTACCACTAGCCGAATGACCCGGGCAACGCCCGTGTTTTAATTTAGACACGTGGACCTGTTGGATCATTAACGCCCGTGTTTTACCCGATTGAATGTTTTTATTCAAATACTATTTGTTACAATTATAAATTGGCGCCTTAAATAAATGCATATATTAGTTAATAACTATAGCCTATGTGCTTTATCTGTCTATGTACTGTTGGCTTCCGTAGGCGTCTCTTACTGGGAAAAAGAAAGAGAGGATTCCATTTAGTTATTAACTAATATATGCATTTATTTAAGGAGCGACCCGCTCCAACACAATAGTTACAAAAACCAAAAAGTGAGTGGGGGGGGGGGGGCAAAGTCAAAAACAAAGTGTCTCGCGCAGTGGCGGCGCCATCGTAGCGGACCAATAGGAGAGCGCCATTCCAAAAAAAAAGCAAACGGTGACAGAGATGAAGAACGCACGCATGACGCTCGTAACTGTATATAGAATTATCTAAGAATGTAATTATTCCTTAAGATCGTAATTGCCAAACTAGATATATTTATTTGTATTTATTTCATTTGTTGGTTGTAAATTCAAGCATGATTTTAATGTCCTTTCTTTTCTTCTTTAAACTCTACTCAAACCATGTAATTATCCAATTGTTTATGTAATATAGTATCTAAGTTTAATGTTGTTTCTTGATGCAAGTATCCCTTGTGGGGATATCGCGTCTTATTTGATAATAAATAAATAAATTTATAACTGCTCAAAACATAAAATATTGATGAGACAAAGGCGGGGATGTACTACTCAGATGGTTTATTTGGTGCAGTGCTGGGCTTGTGGTCCAGTCCAGGAAGGTCAAGATGTTCTGGGTCTCGCCGGGCCGGTTGTAGGAGGGGTTGGAGCTGTAGCTGTACATTTCTATTTGCCAGGTCGAAATCCAAATAGAATGAAGATTAATTTATATTTTTGGCACATTGTATTTATAACGGTAGTCATTGGTCAAATACAATTTATCCCCGTCATCTCTGTGGTGCCGTTTCTCTGATAAGTAATTAATTAAAAATAAATAAAAAATAAAAAAATTTGTACTGCTCCCGTGTACCATCGGTCGGCTAGTTGTTGACACACAACAATATGATGGGTCCCTGACTTTTTAGCTATGATCCCTGCAGATTGATCTTTTGCCAGCTTTACTTGTGAATCTTCCCCATTTCCAGTAATCTGGGAAGCTATGATTCAATATACAGTAAAACCCCACCAATACGAACCTATGGTAATACCCAATTTCTTCCATTGAAAATACCATTATTATAATGAACTTTGCAATTTTTAAAATAATAAACTACCTCTATTTATTTATTTCAACAAACAAAAAACGATATCCCAGCTAATATCCGGTTAAAATCCTGGAATAATTGCGCCACAATTTAAGAGTCTATCTCAAGCCAACACAGCCAGCGAACAAACTAAACAAAGAAAGATCAAATTTCCATGCCAGGTGGGCAGAAATGAGTCAGCAATGTCAAATTTTAATTGGGAAACTAGCATAGGCTGCCACACTGAAAGGATTTCATTTTTATAGTATTTGACTGAAGTCACTTCCTCCACCCAACAGACTACATCTTCGAAGTGAATATCATCGTCACCTCTCGCATCTAAAGGGTTAATAATAGGATAGGAGCATCTGTGACCTCAATAGGTGAATTAATAGAAAGGTTTTTTTTTTTGCTCCTTTTCCCTAGTACACGTGGTACAGGCCATGATAATCATGGTGGGTAGAAGTTGGCGACTGCTTTTACTGTAAGTGCACCACATATATACACATGTGAAAAGCAGTTCGACTTTGTACTTCCAAATGTGCCAGAGCCTTGTTTGGTTACTTGCACTCGCTGGTGGGGTTGGACTTTTGCAAGAATCAGGGGCCATTGGAGCATTTTTTTTAAATCAGAAAAAGTGCAAATGTGGGAATCAAACCCTGGTCGTAGCGGTTGAATAACCAACGGTTTAGACCATCCTTCCACCGACCCCCTATTAATAGAAAGTAACTAGCATATGCTGGAGAGAAGTTCCACTATTACTTTATTCAAAATATTGATATCTAAATGGGTGGATTAAAAGTGGGAAAATACAACCTCTACCTATTTTCTTACCCAGGATTAGCACTTTCAGGTATTTTTGTCATTAGATCACTAACACTTCATTCAGAATTTTGAGTCCATTTGCTCTTGTTTTCACTCAGTCTACTAGATCAACATTTTCTAGCTGAGATGTGAGAGACAGGCAATCTTCTATATAATTGCCTTGTAGCACAATGTTTAGAGAAGCCTTTATTTGAAAAATTCAGTTTTATTGGAATATCATAAAAACAAAATACAAGGTAATAAGACTAAATCCAAATAAATAAATAGTGTGTGACGTTTCGGTAACAGCGTTGTTACCATCTTCAGACAAAAGTACTGAATGAGAGAATTTTACCACAGCATGCTTTTAAAGTATCACACTTGATAACAGGAACTATTTAAAAGCATGCTGTGGTAAAATTCTCTCATTCAGTACTTTTGTCTGAAGATGGTAACAACGCTGTTACCGAAACGTCACACACTATTTATTTATTTGGATTTGGTCTTATTACCTTGTGTTTATAATCTACAATCCAAATTGTGCCTCATCAATAAAAACAAAATATTCAAATAAAATGTAAGTTAAAGGTAGAAGCTCAGTGAACACATCCCATGTTGCTCTGTGTGGATCCATAGGTCACATGGTCTCTCCGTAGTTATACCAACAGTAGGATCAATAAGGCCAAAGAACATATTATAAGAAGACTCAGGCTGGAAATGACAGGTTGTGCATGGATTGAGTAACAATGGGACCACATGATGTTAGCTGCTTCAGGTTTCCACTTGAGAAATGCATTATTCTAGTTCCAATGAAACTTCTTCTTCTTCTTTCTTATCTCCACTCAATCATATTAGGGTATCAAGTTGTGACCCTTGATGGTGTCTGTTTGATAACCATCATGACAGGGTGAAGTAGAATGCGTCTGCCTTTGTCATTAAGACTGGGAGCACTACTCAGTGGCAGGCCGACTTAGCTCCAAAATAAATGGCCGCCTCTGACATGAGGAACAGACGCCATGTACAGCCACTCCTAACATGGAGTACAAACACTGCTCATCCTGTATCCCTGGATTAGGAGCCCTTACAGGGTACTATCAGCCGGGCCAGCTGAGCCCAGGTTTTTTAGCGAGCTTGTTACTGCTCCCCCTCCTCCTTTTTCATCCGGGCTTGGGACCGGCAAAGGCGGAGTTCCAATGAAACAAAATGTCTTAACTTACTCCCTAATCTCTACCTCATTTATTTTCCTACTCTATCATATTCTGAATATTCGAAACTATTATAGATGCGTATGATTCTTTTGAAAATAAAACAATTTCTACTGCCCTTACTGCAATGGAAAAATTAAAGGGAGGGCCTGGCTCATCAGTGGTGAACCCTCCCAGCGGTTTCGTCAGTTTAGTCATGGTTTAAATGTTTAATTATGGTAGATTTAAACTGGCAAAACCGCTGGGAGGGTTCACCACTGATGAGTTAGGCCCTCCCATTAATTTTTCCATTGCAGTAAGGGCAGTAGAAATTGTTTAATTTTCAAAAGAATCATACGTGTATATACAGTAAAACCCCTCTATAGTGAACCCCATTGGGACGGGACTTTTGGTTCACTATAGCCACGGTTCACTATAGCCACGGTTTGGGTATTTAATTTTTTTTTGATGATATAATTAAAGGGCATGCGCAAAAAAAAAAAAAAAAAAAGGCTACCTCTTAATATTGGCTGCTTTTTCCCCCCTAAATTAAACCTATTTCTATATATTAAAGCTGTATATTAAAATAAAAACAAAATCATGTGAAAATATTGCCTTTTTGATCAGTTCCTCTGATAATTTAAT